AGACCAGCAGTCTTGTTATTACATTATTATTTTATGTCTGCAGCAGCTTTCAGTATAATGTCAGTGAGGATGGAGGTCTGTTCTTTTTTTGCCTGTCCATTTTTCTTCTCTCTCTATCCTGTTTTCCACCAGCTGTGCCCCTCTCTGGGGCGGATTAAGTAAGAGCCCCTTTTATCCGTCTGTAATCCTGATCTGGCAACCCTGGCCTTCATAGAGAGGAACACACCACCAACTGGCAGCACAGTATACATAAAGTGTACACATATACATGCTTGTTTGTGTACTACAGAAATATTGGTAACAAAAATAATCATATTTAAATATAAGTTATGATTATATTTTTTACATTCATGTTTTGTTTTATGTAAACTATTTGTAGACAAAATGAACATAAATATTTTTGATATTTTGTTTCATAGAAATAGTAAATGTGCTATTTGCATTAAAAAATAAAATGCCAAAATATAAAACTATTCCTAAACTTAATATATGTGTGGTTTAAAATGCGTATAAATGTATGCATTTTATTTTATATTTTATTTATTTATATTTTTTTCATTTTCAATTTTAATGCAAATTGTACCTTTCATATATCAATTTAAAATAAACCTGATTTTTATCATTAATTTTACTATATTTTAAGGATACCATATTTAACTATATTTAAAGATATTTTCTATCATATATATATATATATATATGTATATATATATATATATATATATATATATATATATATATATATATATATATATATATATATATATATATATATATATATATATACACACACACACACACACACACACGCACACACACACACACACACACACGCACACTCACTGGCCACTTTATTAGATACGCATTAATAGTACTAGGTTGAACCCATTTTGCCTTCAGCACTGCCTTAATCCTTTGTGGCACAGATTGAATAAGGTACTGGAAATATTCCTCAGAGATTTTGGTCTCTATTGACATGATAGCATCACACAGTTGCTGCAGATTTGTTGGCTGCACAGTGCACATACATAATTTAAATCTCCCGTTCCACCAGACCCCAAAGGTGCTCATTGGTGCTCTATTGGATCTACTGGTGACTGTAGAGGCCATTTGAGTACAGTTAACTGATTGTCATGTTTAAGAAAACAGTCTGAGGTGATTAGCACTGTATGACATGGTGGTATCATGCTGGAAGTAGCCATCAGAAGATGGTTACACTGAGGTCATAAAGAGATGGACATGGTCAGCAACATGACTCAGGTAGGCTGTGGCGTTGACATGTTGCTCAATTGGTACTAATGGACCCAAAGTGTGCCAAGAAAATATCCCCAACACCATTGCACCAACATCACAAGCCTGAACCATTCATACATGGCAGTATGGATCAATCTTTTCATGGTCTTGACGCCAAATTCTGACCCTACCATCCGAATGATGCAGCAGAAATCAAGACTCGTCAGACCGGACAATGTTTTTTTTAGTCTTCTATTGTCTAATTTTGGTGAGCCTGTGTGAGTTGTAGCCTCAGTTCTTTGTTCTTAGCTGACATTAGTGGCACCAGGTTTGGTCTTTTGCTGCTATAACCCTTCCGCCTCAAGGTTTGGTGTCTTGTGTGTTCAGAGATTCTCTTCTGCATACCTTGATTGTAACGAGTGGTTATTTGAGTTACTGTTGCCTTTCTTTCAGCTTGGCCATTCTTCTCTGGCCCCCAGGCATTAACAAGACGTTGGCTGATTAGAAATTTGCATTATTGAGCAGTTAGATGGGTGTACCTAATAAAGTGACCGGTTAGTGTCTCTCAAAAAGTACACAATTTAAAATAAAACGCTACATATATTATATAAATGATCTATAATTAAAAACAAAAACAGCTGGATGTTCAAAAGGCGACTACTTACACCTTATTAAGATATGGCATTAGTCTCTCACACTGACCCTGAATCAGCTGCGTGTCCCCAGTGCATTGCATCTGTCTGCTGACAGATCGGCATCAAAGTGTTTCTGCAGCAGAAGCAGGACCACCATCTCTGGGGGTCTTATCACCTCAACATAAAACCCTCATTAGACAGAATAATGATCGCGTTACGCTTGCATGTGCCGGGAAAGCGTGTTTTCCTGTTTATGTGACACCGTGACATTGTAGAATTAATTAATGTCTTTTTTTTTTTTTTGGCAGTCGGCGGGTGTGAACAAGTATATGAATGCAGCGACAGAAGCAGCTGATTTGGGGCTGTTTGCAGGAAGTGCTCTGGAGGAGGGCAGGATGTAGGGGAAGTGTTTTTGCGTGGCGGATCTGGCAGGCAGGCAGCCGCTAGCAAACCCCGCTGACAAGCTCACTCTTTTATATACTTCGTCCGCCCTCTCGAGTGCCTTTTGGCCTGGAATCCATCACAAGATACTGTGAAGTGACATCGGGCAAGTGGAGACACAGAGCTCCTGGAAAACACAGACTGGACATGCTGTTTTTCTCAACTGTCACCTAATTGAGTAATACATCATCCTTATTCTGTGCAGCTCCCTTATGAAGCTAGCCTGGTGTGAGTCTCAGCCGCTTGCGTATTTGTGTGAATTCAGGAAATACAAGAGATTTTTTTTCCCCCTTTCTTTCTCTTCAGTGATTATTTTGGATAAGGTTTTGTTGATAGTCAGTCTTGAACCTGTACACAGTTTTTTTTTTTTTCAGTTTTCTGCATTTGTTAGTTATAGCTGACAAATTTGACCTTTTTTTAATTGTTTGTGTCATAAAGCGTTGAGTTTCAAATTTTACACCTTACAATTCTGACTTTTTTTTGTTCACAGGTTTATATCTCATAATACTGAGAATAAAATAAGAATTGTGAAATGTAATCGATAATATGAATTACAATTTCAAGTTACAATCTCGCATTTTTACTTACAGTTGTAAGCAAATGGTTGAGATTAAAAAAACAAACAAACTCAGAATTGTGATACTGTATATAAACACAAGAATCTCAATGAAAAAAGTCAGAATTGCTCACTTTTATCTTTCAATAGTAAGATATAAATTCTTTCATAATAATTTTTTTTTAATAATTGGGGGCTCCCCAATTGGGAATTAATTAAGACTCTTAATTTTGTCCTGAATAATAGTTTTGTGTGTGCGTACTCAGATGGTGCGGAAAAACTGACCAAGTGAAACAAAGTATAATTTTCTCCCTTTGCAATTTGGTCTCTTGTGAGTATTTGTGAGAATTTAGACAATGAGTTCTTTTGATTTAGAAACATTTGTTGTTAATCCAACATTGGAAGATTTGAGCGATGTAGGAAAGATGAATTGTTGTAGATAGTTGAACACTATCGCATTCCTGTGGTGAGGCAATTCCTGAAGTGTCTTATTAAAAACGAGATTTTAAAGCACTTGGCTGAAAACAAAACTAGAATTTTACCTTATGGGGATAGCGATGAGGATGGTGCAGTGGATGTAGAAAACAGTCCTGGTAATTTAGTGGAAATGGAGGAGAAGACGGGTGACTATGCCGTGGTGGACACCGTGGCAAAGACAGGCTTACCGCCCCACTATTCACTTTCCCCGACTTCAGTTGAGTCTGGGGGTGATTAATATTTAAAAGGATGTAACATATCAGTAAAAAAAAGTTTAAATGCGTATCCAAAGAATCCTGAAGAACAGAATAAGTTTTTATGTAAATTTAAACAATAATACATACTGTAATGTATACATGTGTGTCAATACAAATTGTGGTACTGCTTTAAAATTTTATTCCCATTCCAAATATAAAAGAAAAGAATTACAGTAATGAAATGCAGGAAGATTTAAGGATATAAAGCCTGCAGGTTTGGGAAGGCAAGAAGAAGAAAGGAGGAGTGTAAAGGAAGTAAGAACTAGATGAGAGTGTCAAGTACAAGGAGATCAGGACAAGGTTAGAGAGAGGGAAATCATGCAGTCATGGACAGTGGAAATACGGCCTTGTCACCCAAGCAAGACTGACAGATGTACCTCCATCGTCTCTGGATGACAGCTGACAGCATGACGGACAGGTTCAAGGAGAACCGGAGAGCGCAGAATGGGCTGAGAAGAGAGGAAGAGTACGCAAGCAGAAAATGAGATAATCAGAAGGCATCCTTAGGGGCCCTTGACCTTGTAATCTCACTCTCAGTCTCTCTCTCTGTTTTCTGGAGCGTTCACAAAGCCCGTAAACATGCACTAGATTAGAGCCATTTGGTTTAAGTTCAAGAAGTCCGTTCTCTGATTTGTCATTTTCAACAAAGATCTGAACAATCATAAATGCCAAAAAAGTGCATCATTTCAGGAGTCGTCTTCTGTTTTTCATGAAACTAGAAAGCTCTTCAAAATGTCTTGGAATTTATTTACAAATTTTTGGAGTAAATTTATATATAGGATTTACAAGCCTACAGTATAATCTTAAATCTTTGTGTAACATTTGAATACAGATTGAGTATAATTCCTGAAATACATTTCTATTCATTTTATTATGATTTTTCTTAAATAACTGTGAAAGTATTTGATAAAAATGTATGGTGGATTTAGAAACCACATGTGAGCAATTATTTTAAAAATCTACTCCACTCAGATTTGGAAAAATGCATTTAAATGTATTTTACAGTATTTGTACTGTAAAGTAAAGATGTGAATATATTTTTAATTGTGATAAATAATGATTTACAAGGAGAAAGCACATGGAAAAAACATGAAATCCTCCAGCTCAGCTTCTCCATATGGAGGATAAATGTTTGTAATTATATTCATTTATGGTAAATGATTCACTATGCTCTGAATTCTGACCTGCGGTAGATAAAGAAGTGCAGTGTGACCATCTGTCTTTTGTTTCTTTCTCAAAATAACCATGCAATGAGAGGTTGATTAAGTGGGTGAAAAGAGCCTGTGTGTATGGTCTCCTAGTTCCTGATTTTATGTCATTATACATGGAAAGAGTTTTTTTTAGGGGGCCAAGTTGCTTCAGACTTAAAGTAAATGCTTCTTTCTGCTTTCCTCCCCACAGACTGCACTGGACAGGTGACATCCTCTCCTCTCAGCTCACCCACGTCCCACCGGGGCATGCACCCGTCACTGCTGAGTCCAACTTCATTAGGCCCCTCGGGGTCCCTGCACTCCCCCATCAGCACTCTGAGCTCACCTATGAATGGCCTGGGCTCTCCCTTCTCCGTCATCAGCTCGCCTATGGGGCCTCATTCAATGGCATCTCCTGGAGTGGGTTACGGCCCCAGTATCAGCCCTCAGGTAGGCCTGCGCTCTGAGAGCCTCAATTTATAGCAGTATTTCACACTAGAACCTCCACGAGATGAATGTACCCACACCCTTTTTTTTTTTTAAACAGAATTATTTATAATATCTTTTCAAATAAGATATCTTTTAGTCATGGACTTTTACTAAAATCATGATATTTATAACTCGTTGTTGTTAACAGTTCAGATTAAAAATGACCAAAATGGCTCAATTACACCTGTCAGCAGCAGCAGTCTATACTTGCAGTATAGACTAGCAGTCTAACTTGTCTATATACAGTAGTGCCTGTCATTTTTGCGCCACTTATTTTTTAGTGTTGGTGCACATCAGATACACACTGTTTATGTTACTTGAACATTTACTCCAAACTTCTTCCAGTTAAACAGCCCCTTTCCTAAATGTATTTTAGGCAAAGTTAATGAATTAATATGTTGTAAGTCTAAAAGCTCTAATCTCTCCATATGGAGCCAGATCAGTCTCAAAAATGATACATTTACAAAATAAAATTCGTACACACACAGCACAATTCACATTTATAAAATCCAATTCATAAATTTAAAACACAATCCGTAAATACGCAAATCCAATGCGCAAATTCAAAACAAAATTTGTAAATACTTAAATACAATTTATAAATTCAAAGCACGTTTTATAAATATGCAAATCCAATTCGTAAATTCAAAACACGATTTTTAAATATGCAAATCCAATTTGTAAATTCATAAATGCGCAAGTCAATATTGTGAATTCAATGCAAATCCAATTCGTAAATTCGCAACGCAATTTGTAAATATGCAAATATAATTTATAAATTCATAAATACACAAGTCTAATTTGTAAATGTAAAACATCATTCTTAAATACACAAATCCAATTGGTAAATTCAAAATATGATTCGTAAATGCACAAATCCAATTCGTAAATTCAATACATGATTTGTGAATTCACAAGTTAAATTCGTAACTTCAAAACCCAATTCAGAAATATGCAAATCCAGTTCATAAATCCAAAACATGATTTGTTAATATGCGAATCCAATTAGTAAATTCAAAACTTCAATAATGCACAAATTCACATTTAAAATTAAATTTATGCACAAATCCAATTTATTTGGCAAAAATATTTATCCATTCCTTTTTATTTATCCTACTTATCCTTTATTTTTCCTAGTGAATTCATGAATTGTGTGTTTACAAATTTTCAAAGCTGTGGCGACCCCGGATTAATAAAACGACTAAGCCGAAAAGAAAATGAATGAATGAAATTTACAAAGTGGATTTTGTGAATTATGCTGTGCATGTATGAATTTTATTTTGTAAATGTGTTATTTTTAAGACTGATCTAGCTCTAAACTCCACAGCAGTGCATCACCCGTCATAGATCAAATAATATGATCATTACTAAGCTGTTCAAACGATGCAGTGCATATTCTTACACATATTTGAAAGTATTATATATTATTTTACAATATAATTGGACAATTGTTTACAGAAACTGAAAAGAATACATATACTATATGCATGAAACTTTTTGTATAGTAAAGTTACGATTAAATGCCTGAAATGATGTCTTTATCAAAGGTGGTGTCATCAATAAATGGTACGTCCTAGAATTGCTCAGCATCATTGTTGAAGACATCATTTTATGACTCTTGCAAGTTTAGTTATACAATGTCTCCTGGCAATTTTAATGTTAAAGAAACGCTTATGTTCAGGAATCTTTTTGTTTCACTATTAAACATTGTAACAAATCATTCTACTATTCTCTCTCCCTCTTTCCAATACTCTAGCTCAATCTGTCTTTTGTTCCATAAATAGGCCTGCACATCTCTTTGTCATTTAAAAAAAGGCTCACAATTAAGACATCAAAGCTGGCAGTGGCCTAGTTTTCTTTGAAAGCCTTGATCCACATGAGTAAAATGCTTCTTGAATTCACACACATGTTTGAATGTGCTGGCCCCTTTTCACAGTGATAGCTGTACTGTGGTTTTACAATCAGCTTTTTTTGCTGATTTTAAATTGTAGTGCCATTACTGCTGAGGATTTTCAAAATGGGTTGTTTTATTTCAGCAGAAATGTGAATACAGAACTTGCTGGTTAATTTTGAGCTGTAAGTCAGCTCAAACAATGCTCTATCTAGTTGTGGTCCCATAAAATCAATATATTAGTTTTGTGGACTGTATTATTAATGTTAGCTTGATGTTTGGTTTGCTAACATTTCATAACACTAGTAAAATTCGCTCATTCACTTCTAAATGGTATCATTAACTATCATCAAATAACAGCTAATATGCAGAAATACAAAGATAGTCTACATATATATGTATTATTTTGTTTAAAAAATAAACAAACAGAACAAGAATAGAAAAAAATAGAACAAAAACATACAAAAATGGATCAACATAGAAAAAAAGCATACTGTTGGTTGCAACCATCACCGAAATCCTGTAATATGTTCAGCAAATATATTTAATGCATTCAATTAATACATTAGCTCACATCTTACATATTTTGCAGTGAGTCAACCATGATCAAGCACATCCAATTCTGAAGCTTCAGTTCTGTGAGGTATACACATAGATTGAGACAGATGTAGTTATTGCATTGTCTTACAGCAGTCTGAAGCGCTTAGAGAAAGTGTTTATCTTTACACAGCACTGTTCCTATGCATTTCTCTCTCTCTCTCTCTGAGTGGGAGGCAGTCATGGGGTCTGATGGAAGGTGATTTGAGTCAGACGGCATTTGTCACTTATGTTTAGCATTCGGCTGACTGGCTGTTTTCAGGCCCAGCCGGGTGGAACGGGGTTGCGACTCGGTCCCTCTGTATTTAACCTCAGTGGATCTGGAACAGGCTCCCCACTGGCTCCAACCACCCAGCAACACACAGCACAATTCCCCAGCATTCAACATACTAACCAAAGCCAGCGTCAAGATCAATCGCCATGTTTGTTCCCGAAATGTTTGTTTTGAAGGTTTAACACCCACAGGTCTACCCTCTTGAACTCTTTTATGATAGTGTAAAGGAAATATAGGAATCACTGTTGTATTGCTTAAGGCTTCCCTCTATTATGACCAAATTTACTAAATAAATAATGTTTCATTTGCTAGCTTTAGCTAATAATAATAATTTTAGCTAATGCTAATCTCAATATTAACAATTACAGATTTGATATTAGTAATAAATTCATACATATTTTGAATGGAACTGCGCTTACAGAAACTAACAATTAATCTTTACTAACTCAATTAACGTATTATTATTATGTCATTTTTCCTTTTTTTCCATTTCATTCCATGTCCATTTTTACATATTTAGGCTGGTGTTTGATATGTTTCATATCATTCGGTATTGATTTTATTGACTATTTTTAACAATTCATTTTGGAATATCAGGATTTTTTGTTTTTAGCCACCTTATTTTAATTTATTAACATTACTAAGGCAAATAGTTTTAATAAATATGTCTGATCTCTTTTTAATAATATAAACATAAGCCTTAAAGAAACTCTTAGACTTGATAAATAAAATGATAAGTCAAGTGTGTGCAATGGTAAAAGTAGATCAACACCTGTAAGGTCTCAATAATAATGATACAGTAAACCTCAAACTTTTATGATAATCAAAGTTATGATAATCAAATCTGTTATGATAATCAAATCTGAGCTTTTTGAAGTAAAAGTGAATATTCCAATACTTACTGCACCATTACAAATTGTGAAGTTGAATGACTATATTACCCCTATGCTAAAAACACTTTCAGATGTAAGTTAGTGGCTGGGATGCACAAAAAAAGAAACCAAAAAGCCACTCTGGTGACGACCTTACATCTTTTTTTATTTAAAATCTTTTCACTCATTTTTGCATGTGTTGGGATTCAGACCTGAAGTGACAAGCGCAAGCATGTGGTTTTCTTGCAACTAGGCGATCATCAATCGTTTTCTCAGAGATGATAAACAGAGAAGCATTGCTGCAACTACGATGCAAGTTTATGGAAAAAAGTAAAAAGCACTGCAGTGTTTGAGTGTGCTGTGTAATTACTCTGCCATTACTGAACTTTGTTTATTCCATACAAATTGTGAAGCAGATTAGTTAGGTTAGTTTTACTTAAATGAATCGCAGTGTGCTTGCACCATGCAGAAAAGTTTAGATTTGTATTTATTTTTTTTTAAGGTTTTCACCTTTTGATAGGATAGTAGAGAGTTTCGACATGAAAGTGTGGTGAGCAGAGAGAGGTGAAATTTCGGCAAAGGACCTCGAGGTGGGAATCAAACTCGTGTCAGCTTGAGCACCAGAGTGCCATGTGTCGATCCACTAACCACTACTCCATTGGCACTGACGTTTATATGTTTTTTAACGTATCACATGTGTGCCACTTGCACACCATGTGCATGTCATGCAAGTTGTGTGCCTCCATTGAAAATGATAAACTTACACCATAAACTTATTGGCATCCCTTCCAAGGCACGTGCTCAGCAGCCAAATTTTAATAAAACTATAGCACTTGATACCAAAACTTCATACCAAACTTTTTTTTAGCATTATTGACAGTGGTGTTTGGTCAATAAATTCTGAGACCGATTTTATTGCCCAGCCATATGGCATATACATTTTAATCATATTTTCTGCAAATTCTGAATAGCATTTTTAAAGATTTTTTTTAAGTTGCATTGGTGTATAAAGTAAGTAACATTTAATAATTTAAAATAAAATAAATCTAAAATGTTGGTAAAAAGTGTTTGTAAGCTTCATAAATATGTTGTCATTTTACTCTGAAGCAAATCCTTTAAATGTAACAGTATTTAGAACAGAAAAAAATATTTAGCAATATAAGGATCAATCAATAGAAATTCATTAAAAAAAAAACATTATTTTCAAGGTATTATAGGTCAAGTCTAAACAATGTATTAAAAACATGGTATGTGAGAAATGCATAGTTTAGATGCTGTCTTTCCTCTCTTATTTTGCACAGATTCAAATATGTTCATACTTGGCATG